AAGGATACATCACATGACAGTAACATGGCACCGAGAGTTTGACACTCGTGTTCTAGGTGCTTTTATAAAAAGGCCAAGGAGTATTTAAATGTCTAGGATAAAATTAAAACACATAGTTGATCTATGATACATAGAGGGTATTTGGTAAGCAGGAATACTCACTTTCCTGAGGATTCTTTAAAAGCTTGTTTATCCCTTTTAAAACTAATGTATTGCTATGGTTTTAGCTTGCTTCCAAAAATCCAGTTTGTATTTGCTAAATATGTCATTATACCGATCATTTGTTTTCAACAATCAGTTCATAGGTTAACAGGTAAACAGATTTTTGGCAAATGTATTATAGAACACATTTCAGATATCATAGCAATTAATACTATGAATCATAATTGTTCCCACAGTTGGGATCCCAAATTTTTCATACTTTAATCTGATATGTTTAATAAAAAGTGAGATCTATACTGTTTCACTGTTGCCAGCACTAACATGATTACGTGTTGTAAATGTAGAGTAAGTTTTATTGAAAACAAGGTCTTCAGTAATGGATGGTGAAAAAAGCAAAATTAAGATAAAAGCAGTCAGATGATTCCCCGACTCCTGCTGCTATAAAAACAAGAGAACAAAGCATGAACTGAATACCAATTTCAGCTTTGCCTCTTTGAAAAACAAATGGTAACTTCCAGAGGATGTATGTTCCATTGGATAACACTAAGCTGTGGATTTTATAATTAAATATTATAAACCCTGTTTATAAGATTTACATTTTCATTGTTTTTAAAGTGGAAAAAAGAATCTGGTTACAATTTTAAAAATCTTAGCCATTTAAAACATACCCAATTAAAAATAGTTACAAAATTAATAATTCAGTTCAAGATATCAAAATGTGATTTATATTATAACACCCTTAAAATGTGATGTGTTGATGTGTGAACAGCATCCCAAAAGAAATGATGTGGTGTCAAGAACATCTTCTCTTGGATCTCCTTGTAGTAGGTATGGCAGTCTCAAGAGAGCCTCACTAATATGTTAAGCTGATGAGCCAGTATATAAGGATGTAGGTTCTGACATACATCTGTCTGAAGACACTCTTGCAAAACACTAGATGTAAATACTCCTGACTCCGTCCTTCTATTGTAGGAGGAATAAAATTCAGCTAATATATATTGCTAAGCAAACCACAAAATCAATTGAAGATTTGAACGTAACTCACTTATAGCTGATTTGTGTTTATTTTATAACACAGTTCCTTATTTAAGTACTAAAAGAAAAACCAGGAACTTGTTAAATGACAGTTCTGATTTTCTTCTTCCTGGTGGGGAGGATAAGTGTGAGGTGGCGGGCATCTTCTTGTTAACTCATAATACTGAACTAAGACATAAGGCTAATTGCCAAGTAAACATGTACACGTTCGATCCTAGGTAGAGGCTAATATTTGGAATAGACTCTCCTGCTTGAGCAGGGAGTTGGACTAGATGACCTCCAAGGTCCCTGCCAAATCTGTTGTTTTGTGTTCTATGTGAAATCTGTTTGCATGCATAAATCCTGAGCAAGAATCAGGAAGAAAGGGTCAGAATGTGATTTGAGAATGTCTATTTATGTAATAGGGTGAGGTCATAGAAATAAATCCTTGTAGAATTAGGTACTATTTTCCAATGGCAAAGTTGTTCCACAGCTCTAATAACTGCTTGCTTTTCAGATAGAAATGAGTGTAGAAGGCTAGAGCTTCGGCTATTATCATGAGCTAATTTTTCTGCTTATTGAAAAATTTTCCCCATGGAAAATTCTGTTTCATAACTGAAGTTTGAAGTGAATGTTGACCTGACCACATATGAAAGGCATATTACAAGTTATCCATTTTTTATTCAATGCTGTATAGGTCCAGCAGTTAATGAAAAGAATTAAGCTGCATGAAAATGGGTGTGTCTGACAGTGTGCTTTTTTTCTTTTGACTGCAGGAAGAGGCATGGTATCTTATCATGCCCATAATGGCCCTATCAAGTTCCTGGTAACGGCTTCTGTGACAAGCAAGCAGAACAAAAGCAAGTCAAAATCCAGGCTGAATTGTCCTCATTTAGGTCTGAAAGAGGATGACCAAAAGGGGGTCGGACCTGAGAGGCCCAATTCTTCTCTGAACAACCCCAATGACAGTGCCATTTGGTTGGGGGGCTCAGTCGGATCCATTGCTCAGAAAAGTGACTCATCTTCATCATCTGGGTCACTGACATTGTCTCACGGATCCAACACAACCGAACCTCGGCCAGAAGAGAGTGCTGTCTATGAGCTTTTGAAAGAAGTCTCCCCTGACCAAAGTAAAAGACATAGATCCAGAGAGGGGAAAGCAATATCCATCTTAGTCATCTCTGGAGGACAAGGACACAGAAGGGTGAATAAGAAATGCAAGCAGCAGCGGCCAGACGAACTGGTGTCTTCGATAATGGTTTGGCAGATTCCACTGTTAAAGATCTGACAACAGGATACAATGCGATTCACTCAATGGCAAAGTTTGCTTTGGTGTTAACACCATCATGATGAATTTACGGTTTTTTTTATCTCAAAGCAAATTAAATATCAATGTTTGCAAAGGCCTCTTTATAAGGTTTCTTTGTCCTGAATCTGTGTGAGTTACCTTGTTAAAACAAGTGTCTTAGATCTAGTCTAAGAAGCCCATTTCAGAGCTACATCTAAACATATATTTCAGTCTTCAAAAGTTCTTTAGTTGAAAAAAAAGTATGATTCATTTCAAGCTATTTTTCCTCATTTTGCTATTATTTATATTCAAATATTGTGGCCAAAAATATTGAGTGAAGGAAAAGGATCAAATAGTATTTCTCTGATCAGCCTTGCTTAAATAATTATTTCTTGCAAGGCAACATCATGTACATTTTATTTCCACAAACATTTTTAAAGTAATCATTATTCCAAGATAGTCTACTAGCTTAATTCCAGAGACTATAAATAAACCTGTAATATACTTTCTCAAGTAAGTGTCAGACACAATAAACGTTTTTTTTGGTTACATACTACAGATTTATACTTGGGAGGAAAAGAGCTAGGGCTAACTTTTAATTATTAATACTTAAAAATGAATATTATAAAAAGAAATGTTAAACATTCAGAATGAAATATGTTTGACTTACTAAGTGATGTATTTTTTTTAAATCTTTTGGTTACTCCCAGTAAGTAGAAGGGAAAATGAAACCACTGTGAAATTTAGTAGATTCAGGCAGTTGTTTGTGTTTTGGTGCTCCATTTAATTATAGTACATTCTGTTGCTGGCGGTGGAATGTGCCCCATTTATATGGCTGCTGATATATTTCGATTATCATTAGATAATAGTGAGGAAATGAAATATAAACATAAAATAAAGAGAGCCTAACATTAAAGTATATTGTTTTCATAAGATGATTATGGTTGGTCATACAGTCAGCCAGTTGGATAGTCTGGGTTTGGCATTCTGATCCACTTACTGAGTCCTTCCCAAGGACCCAGGATAGGCTGGTGGGGTTGCTTGATAGTGTTAACGGTATCTGTTCCAAGTAAGGTTGCCTTTTGTAATTGATGGTAGTAATTTTGTCAATGCCAGTGGTGTTCAAGTGGTGCTCCAGATGTTTTAGGATTGCACCCAGGACACTTATTACTGTTAGTTTTATCTTTGCTTTCTTTTGCTGTTGTTGTTCTATTTCTATTTGCAGGTCTTTATATGTTGTGGTTTTCTCCAGTTCTTTTGTTCTGCTGTTTCCAGTACTGCAATGTCCGCTATCCAGACTTTTTTGTTTTTCTTATCAACATTTGATACGTCTGGGGTATTGTGTATCAGGTGTCTATTTTAATTCTAAAGTCCATAACACTTTAGCTTCTTCATTTTTCTATTATCTTGTCTATGTTGTGGTCCCATTAGTATTTCCTTGCAAATGGCAGTTTTTTCCAGATCTTCCTATACACGATTGGAACATCTGTTTTGTTATCAGTCTGTGCAATCAGCTAACTAGGTGGTCCACTGTTTATTCAGTTCCTTTGCTGCGACCACTGTCTGTTGCTGTCTTCTCAGTTCTGGCTTTATATGCATTTGTTCTTCAGTCTTGGCCTTGTGCAGGCAGAATTAGCTCCCCAGTCTCTTTCTTCAATTTTCCTGCTCTTAGCCATTGACAGGTCTTGTTATTATCTGCTTGACCTGCTATATTTTTAAATGTTCTGGCTATGTAATACTTTACCTTGCCGTATCTCAATTCTATGTTTCTTTTGATTTTTCTTGTAGGCCAGTTGGCTCTTTGGAATATTCAATAAGCCTTTATGGTGTACTAGCTTCATTGCATCTTCTTTATTGTTCTTCAGATATTCTTCCAGTACCATTTTTTTATCAACTGTCTGGTGTACTTGCAACGTTCCACATTCCCCGGTTTTCCTTGGTAAATAACGTCTGTCGCTTCCTGAATGGAGTAAATTATTGTTATTTTTCTGATAATCCTATCCAGGGCTTTTAGTTCTGCTTGAATCTAGTCCAACTGTTCCAGCTCTGTATCTAATAATTTGTGCAATTGTTAATTGCCTTGTTGGTATTTCCATTACTGGGTCTGGACTTTAAAATCTTTTTTACTGCCATGATAAATCCACTTCTAACTTTCTTCTTTACTGTTCTTGATGTCAGTTTGAAGGATGCCAGGAATTTGTAATGAACTTATTCATCTAGACTCTTGATAGTATTTCCATTCATATTTCACTATTTTTGCCTTGTTGATGGTAAAGATGGCACATTTGTCTAGCCCAAACTCCACAGTAACATCTTGGGACAGTGTTGAGCAGCAATTCTATTTCAGATGGTGCTTTTCCTGTTGCCCATGCAGAAGAGATGGAATAGCTTGGCAGATTTCTTTGAAGTTTGGTAACCATCGCCTGACTTATTCAGTATTGTTGACAGAGGAGTCAGTGTAACAACAAACTAGTGGTGATAATATCCTTGAAAATTTCCTCTCTTGATATTAATCTCTTCTTCTATTTCATCATTGACCAGCAACTGTGTCTTCTATTGTGCCATGATCTTTGCTCAAAGCTTCGGATTTTCTACTGATTCCTGTTATTTTTAGACATTTAATTATTCAATAATGTAACAGAGTCAATTGCCTTATTGTAATAAATCCAACCTATGTTCAGCTTGGTCTTCCTTCTTGTAGTTTTCCGGAATCATCTTATCAATTAGGAATTGAACGTTGTTCCTTTTCTGATGGGCGGTTTTCTTTCTGCTCAGATAGAAGGAGCTTGTTTTCAGTCAGATGCTATCGAACTATATCAGCTACTACACCAGTTAGCAAGTTGTTGATAAGAAGGTAATTGGCTTGTAGCTGCCTGGTACTGTTCCTTTTTCATGAACTTTCATTATTGGGTAAGTTTTACTAAATGTTAGCCACTCTTCAATTTTACCTCCTTGCGGTATGTTGCTAAACTGCTTGGCAATGATTGGGTGTAAACCAGTCAAATGTTTAGACCAAAAACCATGCAGTTCATCTTCACTTGGTGCTGACCAATTCTTGATCTTCCTTGCCCTTTTCTGCTATTATTGCAAGTTCTGTTTGTTCTTATCCATCTCTTAGCCAAGATGCATTCTTGTATTTTTTAGGTTGTCCCATGACCTTGCCCAGAACTGCATTGTTTCTTCTTTGCCAGATATGGCTGGTTCACTGCAGTCTCTCCACTGATGGATTGGTGGAAACATTTCTGATGTACTGAAATTGAAGATTCTGCCTGTAGTGTGAAATTTGAGCTTCGTATCTGCTGATTTTCTTAGCTATAATTGTTGTTTGCTGATATTTCTTGATCAGGTGTTCTTTGGTCTTGTCTTTCATCTGTTCCAGCTTGTTTGCATCTGATCTTAATATTCTGTTCTTATTTTCCAACCCAATCTTCCATTTTGGTGATGTACTGTTTGGCTTTTTTTTTCTTTTTGTTGATTTTGCCGCCCAACATTTTCAATTATAACTGCACCCATGCTGTAAATTAATTGGATTGTTTGACAAAAGTGGTTGAACCTCTGTCTTAGCTCTCATCCTCCTCAGAGCATGCAACACCCACAGCCCTGCAAGATAGTGACTCATTATGACTTCATTGCTCTCCAGATACATCACTGACTGTTACCAATGCATATTATTAACACAGATTTTGGTCTGAAGTCAATAAATGTACATTTGTCACATGAATACTGGCCAAAAAGAAAAAAAAAACCAGCCCTACATCTATAGAAAGAAGAAAGAAACGGCCATGGCCATTTCCAAGCAATAAAGAAGGGAATTTGTACAATCAAAGCAAGTCAACATATTTCCTTTTAATAAAACTGAAAACTACATATCTACCAGGGATGCAAATGCAGATACTGTCACTGCTGTGAAAAACTTAATTGCTCGTAACCAACAGCTACAACTTCAGGAGCCATCATAATTTGTAGAACTATCTGTTGTCTTAAAACCTGGGTGTACCTGAGCCTTGCCAGAGTGTAGCTGCAGGATAAGATCATTTACCTCAAGCTTATCCATTTGGATTTCTTGAGGTTGGCATATATAATAGTGCTATATTCTGATAGGATGGAACATGAGAATTTAAACTTTAAAGGAGTTTTGCTGTACCAACTAAGAGTCTGCTTATAGGGAGTAATAGCAGAGCAATATGTTGGATCACAGGGAGGCCCAAATTCATATTTTTTTCTTTTTTAAATTTTTTTTTATTGATTTTCAAAAACAAACATGAACAAACAAAACATAAAAAAATAAAACATCGTTTTTGAAAGCAGCATAATCCCGGGTTACATCTCTTTGTACAGACACAAATTCAAGTTCATGCTCATTTTTATATTCCATTCCATATCTTATTACTATTCTACATTTTCTATATAGCTTCTCCCCTCTTTTAACTTTCTTAATTTTATTTTATTTATTTCATCTCAATTCAAATCATTATACTTATATTCTTTGTCTGTCCTGTTTCAACTGTCTACTATGTTTTCTCATTAGTTTTTTTCTTCTTCTTGAAGAAGGGGGAATTCTAGTAGGAAACTTGCATTACAAAGCTTTGTTATGGCCATTTCTTTCAAGTATAATAGACTGAATTCACTGCACTTAGGGAAGATCCATTTAGATCAATGGATATTAAATGTTTGTTACCCGTGACTAAATTTGATATAGTCATACAATAATGAAGACATAAATTTGTGTATGAGAAAGTGATAGAAGGGAGACTTCTTGTCTCTTCCAGAGGATGGAAAAAGAATAGGCAGAAAACCAATTGGCCTCCACCAGCAAGTTATTGGTTTGCAATAAATTAGAAAGCACTTTTAATATGAGCAATAGATTTTTCCCTCAATTAGATGATAGAAAGCCCTGCTATCTAGTTAAACAAATGTATATTCATATTTGTGAAGTCAAACAAATTTACAGCATAGCAGGTATAAAGGGTAATATTACACTTTGGTCTCTTGAGTTGCTCCATAGTTCTCATAACTGTGTGTCCTTGGTTAGATGTGAGACTTAGTCATATATCTTTAAGTCAGCAGTAATGAAACATTTGAATTTCTAGCTCCTTAGTGCAGACTTGGGTATTCCCAGAATTCATTTCTAATCAAGAATTTCCCATAGTGAAGATACAACTTTAAGTTCTTTAAGCCATAATTTTATGGAAAAGGTGTTCAGAGTTGCAAATGCATTCTCAAGTAACAACTTCCAAATGAGTCCTTCATTGCAGAAATGGGCAGAGGTCATGAAAAAGAACTGATAATGTCTACAAAAGTTGGAAGAACATTTTTAACTTTTAACACTTAACCATCCTAATTTACACCCCTCAAATACTTGTGGTTTAGGTTTTTGTTAAATACTGATTTGCCATTGGCTGATAAAACCTGAAACTAGTTTCCCAGTTTTAGGATTTCTTTGAACTTGCCTGCACTCTAATTCAACTGTAGAAACTAAGGGGCTTTGAGGAACAGTTTGTGATACAGCTTTCTAAGGAAAATTCCATTAAGCTCTCTGGATCCTGGTTATTGAGGGCTGCTGAGGAAGTTTCCTAACAAGACTGTTATAAAATATGTGTGCTATATTACAGAACTTTTTAAAACTCCAATAAAAATGTATATATGTATAGATTAAAATGCTAACTAGTAACTGAAGTACTGCTTTAATATTGAATACAAGCCACATTTATAGTCCATATATGTGTTGCTAGGCAGATTTTTGTGTCTGATCCCATGCGAGAATAATGATATCTGGGAGGAAGACAGCCACTATGTTTCATCAAATGTTTTCTAATATCTAACAGTACATTTGTTATAACCTGAGCCATACAAATATGTATTTATGTCTAAAATAAACTCAATAAACTGTGAATAAACAAGACCTCAGAACTGTATTAGTAGCTTATTATGTTATTTGTTCAAACAACAAGGGGGAGCATGCTTGTAATATATTGGAAAAACTGTTCAATGGAATACAACTAGGAACAAAATAAGTTTTTTAAAGTACAGTGGTGCCTGTTAGTGTCAATTCTTATAATGATGTGGAAAACATGGGTTGCTATCCATTGGTTCACACACAATGCCAAGTGTGTAAATAAACAAAGAGTTAACTTTGCCAAGTACCACGTCTGAGCAACTAGAATTTAGTTTCATCTAAGCAGATTCCTGATTTATATGCATCAGGAATCTGCTATATTGAATCTGTTTTCCAGGTCATTATAAGAATTGACATGGGACGCGGTGGCTCAGTGGCTAAGACGCTGAGCTTGTTGATCAGAAAGGTCAGCAGTTTGGCGGTTCGAATCTCTAGTACCGCATAACGGAGTGAGCTCCCATTACTTGTCCCAGCTTCTGCCAACCTAGCAGGTTGAAAGCATGTAAAAATGAAAATAGAAAAAAGGACCACTTTGGTGGGAAGGTACCAGCATTCCATGCGCCTTGGGCGTTTAGTCATTGCCAGCCACATGACACGGAGATGTCTGGACAGCGCTGGCCCTTCGGCTTTGTAACAGAAGAGCACTGCCCCCTAGAGCTGGAAACGATTAGCACGTATGTGTGAGGAGAAGCTTTACTTTTACCTTATAAGAATTGACACTAACAGACATCACAGAGCTTTAAAAAAAACTTATAATCCACAATCTCAACAAGAAGGGCTGGAGAGAGGATGATAATTGTCCAATACATCTATATCCAAGGTGGGGTGAGTTGAGAAGGCCTACTACAGACTCCTTCAAGGTTGCAGGAATCACCCCCTTTCATAGTAAAATACTTTTTTAAAAAAATGCAGAAACCAAACCAAAAACTGCACAGGAATAAACATGCAAAAAGCAAAGAATAAAACAACGAACCTGCTGTGAAGAGGAACGTTCAGTAACACATTCTTTCTCCCCTTTTTTCGTTAACAACTGCTAAAATATTTGCAGTGTTTTGAACACTGGGGATTATTGCTTAATCTGCGTAAGGTTTCATCTGTTGTTTTTAATTAGCCACAACTCTTTTCCCCAAAAGCTTATTCCAAATGTCTAAATCGATTGCCTTGCTGTCTAATGTGTCATATATAAGGAGATCCCAGTTTAAATTTACTTAAACTTCTATCATGAGCATATACTGTGTTATCAGTTTTGCCATTGCTGCAAATTCTCCAGTTTTGGTTCTCCCATTTTTATATCATTGGCAAATTTTACTTTTCCAAATTTATGCTAAATTTTGAGGATTTTTCATGACCGCTACATGCGAGAAAATAGTCCTTTTTTCTTTCAGCATTTGCAACCTTATGTTACGGTTTGTCCATCTTGGACTAACTCCATCTATAAAACATTTAATACTATTTTCCCCAAATGGTACTTTGGAATACATTTCATTGGTTTCCCCCCCCCCCACCCATACCTCTTTCCATTATTCTCATTCGTTTATTTGAGATTTTACACGGGTGGGATGCAACCAGTGTTACTACCAGTTTGGTGATTACGTTTTGCACTTTTTTACTGCTTTTTCAACCTCCGCTGTGCCGTGCAAAGCTGCTGAGGTTGAAAAAACAGGAAATAAAGGTCAGGTAAGAGCCCGGGCGGGCCAAACAGCAGCAGACACAGAACTGGTTCTGTGTCTGCTACTCTTCAGAGCTACTGGTTTTATAGATCCGGGAAGAACCAGTAGCATCCCACCCCTGGTTTTACATCCATTTGATCATGCTATATTTAATTTGTTCTGTCTCTGTGTCGTATTTCAATATCAATCTTTAATACATGATCTTTATTCTGAATAAGCATTTCAAATTTAGTCATTTTTCTCAAAGTTTCGCCTTTCTTCAAGTGACTTTTTACTCTTCCAACAATTTGTGCATACAATAACTAGTGTAAATTCCTATTTTCATTGTTGAATTTTTGATCATTTGCTTCTGCCTTCCATTTGTACACAGTCATGGCTAAAACATGCCTTGGTAATATTTAGAAAAGGGTGTGTCTCACATGTCTTCATCTTGTTTCTCACATGTGAATAAGACAACTTGAAAGTTGTTTGTTATGGACCTTTTTACATTCCAGAATTAAAAAGTTCTGAGGGGAGAATGATCCACTCTGGAGCCAGATAGTCCATCCTTTAAGGAAACCGTGAAAAGTGCTGGATGAGGCTGAACAAAGATGGAGAGAGGACGCACACATCCGCTGGCTGAATTTCTGATCCCATCCCCTTCTGGTCCCTGATTTTATGGCAAGGTCATGGGTGATGGTGACACAGGACAGGTTTTAGTGAAGGGAATGAAATGTAACAGGTTAAGATTGTCCTTTCAAAGTCTTGGACTACTTTCAACATGGGCAAGAGAGGTCTTACTTATGTAGCCAATGATAAGGTTACACCTCAGGGATAGAGCTGAAAGAAGTTCAACCCTATAGACAACCTTCGAAGTATGATTAGATACCACATTGAGAAAGGTCTTACGGATCTTGCAATGCTGGGATGTGGGGAGAAGAAATGGGGCTTTATGCTAATAAACTGCATTAATCATTACCTCAGTCCCAACCCACTTACTTTTGTGGAAAGCTAAATGGAGTGCTAGGGAGCGAAGCAAGTACAATTAGGATCCTGACTGATAAATAGCTTGTGTTTTTGCACTGGAGCAGCCACAGGTGTTCGCTATTTCAGGTGTTCACTGTATGCTTTTTTCATATACTGCTAAGAGCCACTTTCCCTCTGGAGACCAGAGCTCTAAACGGCGTGTT